AGAGCTAGCAGGTGTTTTATAGAGACTGCAGCAGGCTCAACAACTTCAGCTTTTCCTTGCCACAATACGCTGTGGCAGAGGCTGCCAGCTACAGACATTGCTTGAAAAAACAAAAGGGAGATCAGCCAACTTCCTCAATATTTTGGTACTAACAACACACACTTGCCACAGAAGAGTTCCTGGAGAGGATCGGAGCCAGGAAAGAGTCAGCGTGGTGCCAGGAGAGGAGCACAACAGGACAAAAATCAGAGGCAGCAAGCGACTCGGGGAATGAAGACCTTGTTTTGAGGCTGCTGCTTAGCTTGGGTTAGTTTTGTTCATGTGCTTTTAAACACTGTCCTTTCCCCCTAAGCTCAGAAGACAAGTTAATTCCTGCTCCCCTCCAGAGGTGACCATCCTTACCTGTGGCAGGGTGTGCACCTGGGGCCAGGCAGCCACGGGGCTGGAGTGCCACCTCCCGGCAAGTCACAGGCAGCGCTGCCTCATCTGCCGGGAGCTGGGCAAGGAGAGCACACCAGAACACACATCCATCCTCCTGGTGCTCCAGAGCCTCCACGCTGTCCCAGTTGCTGCTTCTCCTTCCCATGGCCTCACCTAGTTTATCGGCCACTTAGAAGAGGCAAGAGAAATGACAGAATAAGCCCATGCAGGGACAAACAGCATGGCTTTTGGCAGGTTGGAACAGTCACAGGGGACGAGGACTCCAGCAGCTCCTAAGATCAGACAGTTCCTCAGATCTTCTCAGCAACGAGCACCAGGTCAAGATCTGAGCACCCTCCAAAAACAAGGCCAACAGTCACCTGTTGATCAACTCAAAACCGCTCCAGAGGTGCAGCAGGACATTTGTGAAGGAGAAAGCTTGACTGGTTTTTAAACGCTTGATCCACATCCTGGCACTAGTCATCTGCACCCTGGACACTCTCAGTGAGATGAGCCCCAAGTGTTTAACAGGTCCCTATGGGCCTGTGTGAGGTTATGGAGTATTTCTAAGGCAATCAAAAACTTAAGTATCTGACAAAACAGAAAAGCATCTGACAGCACTGAGTTCCAGAGCTGAACTGAACATGCTACGAAACACTTCCTTCCATTTTAAGCCAGACACACCTCCTACAATCCCACTCGATTTTAACAAATCTCCGTTTACAACCCAATGCTTGTCTCAGATTCCCAGTGAACTCCAGTTTTCCTCCTGCAGAAACCAGCCCCACTAAAACTCTCCATATCTTTCTACCATTTTCTATTTCAATTGAGCCTGTAAAGTTTAGCACAGGGACACACGCAGTTGAGTACAATTTCTTCTTCTAAACACCTGGTGCCTTGCTTGCCTGGAGCTGTCTTTACCATTTCCTACTCAAGTTTCATTAAGTACCCTAAAAGAAAGGAGTGGGAAACAGCCATGTTCAAAAGGCAAAGATAAATCACCTCATCACACCTATCTGTGTGCCCAGTCAGAGTGGAAGATCAAGTGGCACAGGCTTGTCCCAGTGTCACTCAGAGTAGGCAGGATGACACAGTACCTCTGCCACTTGCGCAGGCACAACATCCCCAGGGCTGCCAACATCCTTCGGCCTAAAACCTCCAGGACGCTGCCACACACAAGCCTGGGTTAGATGAAGGCTGCCAGCCTCCAAACAGAGCTGTTCTCCCAGCTATTTCGGATGTGTGTGGGAAGCTCCACGCTGTCAGCAGACAGAATCTCTGGAACTTCTGCCCCCTGCCCCAAAACCCAGATCTACTACAACCCACAGGACAGCTTTAGGGAACAAAACACAGCCTGAAAGGCAGCTCAAGAAGTCATCTCTAGTCTATCCTCTTTTCTACTAGCCCAGTCACTAAATACATTAGGGTTATCAACAGAAGATATTAAGACCCACTGAGCAAAACCAGCACTCTCCTCAAACTCCTTGTGTTTCACTGTCCTCATTCTTCTGTTTTAACTTGTCTGTAGTGTCATTAGAAGTTATTAGAGCTTCTAATACACTGATAGCAACTCCCACCTTGGGCCAGCTGAAGCTGATAACACCTTCTCTATTTCATCAATACTCCAATGGTGTGATGAGCGCAGACCCAGAGGAGACCCCTCCATCAGCGGTGCAGCAGAACCATGCCAAAACACAACTGAACACTTGGACTCCTTGCACAAAAGGCTCCACAAGACAGCGGAGATGCTTCATGTAGCAAACCAGCTTTTCTCCTGCTTCGCCTTCTGCCTTACTCTAGGCAGCGCTGCAGTCAGTGGCATTAAAGCAAATCTTGTGAGTAAAAAGGAAAAGAAGAGATGAGAGTGAAGACAACTCGAGGAAGCAACATCCTGTGCTGAATGGGACCAATATATTCAAGACAAGACTACGCAGTAGGCAAGAGATACAGATATCTGCACAAAATTGTGTTTTGCTATAGAGAGCTCATCAAAATCAGAGACACAGAAGCAGAACAAAGATCAAAGTTAAATCAAGTTGAGGGCAAAACACCAGTTTTAAAGTTCAGTCATTCAAACAGCTGCGAGAACTGGCCTATCAAATTATGTGAGATGTTTAAGGTCTTCTGCACAACTTGAGCTGGATGTAGACACTGGATAAAGGTCAGCAGGACTGGTGTAACAGGAAACTGTATTTCCACAGCTATTTGTAGCCTTCCTACCAAGCCACGCAGCATGTAATCGGGGCAGGCACGGTCTGAGACCTTTCAGTTCATCTTTTCCACACACTGGTTTTCAAAGCGGTACAGTTAGGAAACAGCAAAGTTTTAAAGTCTGCAAGATACTCACGCATCCTGCCTAGACTATTGCCTTTAAACAGATATGATATAAGCTAAAAGAAGAGACCATTAGTGATTACCATGATACTTCGATAGAGATTAGACATTTCCATAAACCTGTAGGGCAACAAAGGAAAAGCATCAGTGGAAGACAAACTACCTCATGTGGCCAGGCTCAAACAGTACTGATGTCTTTACAGCAAATTAAAGATGGGCAAAGAGGCGTTTTGAAAGTTAACTTAAGTTTGAGGGAATAGAAGAGATTGCTCCATACAACTAAGATGATGAGCTAGAAACTGTTTCATCCATTGCAAACACTGCTGCAAACTGGGGCATGGTCATTTCTTGCCGATGACTTGCCATGTCTTGCTCTGTATCTGGAGCCAAATATGAAAACTCCATCAGTTTTAGTGACAGGCATATAAGAAAAAACTATTTCTTGGAAAACAGCGAAGGCTTAAGAGAGAGGCAGCTTTAGCACAGTGACCCAGAAAATAACAGATATGAGCCACTGGGTTAGAAAAATGAGATGGCGTTACTGTCCAGACACAGAAAGGACAGAACAGGAAGAAAGAGAGCAGAGAGACAGGTGTTTAATCGGTACGTGCACATGCAGGAGATGCCACACATAGACCAAAATTTTAAAACTGTGAATCGACCACAAAGGCCTTTCCACATCAGCCTGCACCATTCAAAAACCTCTAGGTGGCAAGCAAGATAACGCCCACACAACTGCCAAAAATGCAAGATTAAACACCACTTGCCAGAGTGCCCGCGATGAGCCAAAGCTCACTGTAGCAAATAAATGAATGCTGATGTATTAGCTTTCCGATTCAAAAATAGAGTACAATATCTTGCATCTCTGAGAAGAAGAAAGTCATGTTCTATTGAACCAGAAATTCACTTTTGTCCATCACTTATCTCCTTACTGGTTAGAGAAGGCCACTGGCTATGGAGTTTTCAAGCTAAACTAGAGCTTACAGGAACACAGACGAAGGAAAGTAAAAAAAGGCAATTTTACTTCCATGTTTCAGCTGCAAGCTAGCATAACTGGTATCACACCAAGACTAGCAGTTTCATTGTATTCCCAATTATAACAAGAGCAGCACACAGGGAAGCAGAGGGTTGTACAAAATCACTAGAAGATACCTGCAAGAACACTGTGCTATTTCAAGCTTTTCACATCATCTGAACCTGCTGTGGAATCGCACACACCCTGTGTTTTTTCATGCACTGACAAAGACATGCTGAGGTTGCTGCAGCCCTCTCTTCTCCTGCTGCATATTCTGGGCCCTCCCTTCCCCTAGTGCTGATGTTTGTTGAATTCCACTGAGCTGGCTGAGAAAAACCAAATCAAAGATTAACCCCAAAAGGGAAAAGTTGTTCAATTTTTGGTCAGCTCAACTCCCTGAACCAGTTTGTGACGGGGTCAGAGGAAGGCCTACAGCCCCTGGGGTGGGATGGTGGGATCACAGCAGCCCTGACGAAGGCTGATCGATCTCAGTGGGTCAGAACTAGCAGGCAGCTGCTGTCCTGCGTATGTTTTGCAGCAGGATCACATTTTAAAATAAAACAGGAACATTTAATACAAGGGATATGGGTAAATGTCAGCTCCAATACGAGACGGAACCAATTCTGCAATGGAAGGCAGGTTAAGTAGCTGTGCCAATGGAGCATGCACACCCCGGGAGCAGAAGCTTTTAACAACATAGTGGTAACACAACACCACGCTGCTGGTTTGAGACCTCCAGATAAACAGTTTCATTCGAGAAGCTGCAGACAACACAGCAGCTACAGGGCTGAGTACGGAGAAAAGGAGGCTGAGGGGAGACCTTATCGCCCTCTACAACTACCTGAAAGGAGGGTGTAGTGAGGTGGGAGTCAGTCTCTTCTCCCCAGTAACTAGCGATAGTACAAGAGGAAACGGTCTCAAGTTGTGTCAGGGGAGGTTCAGATTGGATATTAGGAAGAATTTCTTCACTGTAAGAGTTGGTAAGCATTGGAACAGGATCCCCAGGGAGGTGGTGGACTCACCATCCCTGGAGGTGTTCAAAAAACGTTGAGATGTGGTGCTTCGAGTTTAGTGGGCACGGTGGCATTGGGTATGCAGTTGGACTTGATGATCTTTGAGGTCTCTTCCAACCATAGCGATTCTATGATTCTATGGAAAGCTAGTCTGAGAGCCCTCAAGTCTGGAAGAATGCCAACATTTCAAATGCTTTTCACAAACAGCTGGTACTCACGTGATGAAGTCCAGAAAACTTGCTAGGGGCTCATACGCGTGGTTCCTCATGTGACGAAACTCCACCACCATCTTCTCCTTCAGCTTGTCGTCTATGACTGAGACGGTGAGTGGGGAGGCTTCGTTGGCCAGGAAGTTCCCATAGTCTGTGCTCTGGAGGTGCAGTTTCAAGTCTGAAAAACAAAGAATAATTCTACTCTACAGGGTTTGTGCTGGGTTTGGGGTTTTTTTTGAGCATACCCAAGAAAGCTGTTCCTCAGCATTTCTCCAGGCTTTCTCTTCTCAGAAAGATCACCTAGACAAAACCCATGTGGTAAGTCATACACTTATATTTGTGTTCAGTTTCATCATGGATAATCGAAATGCAAGAAGACATCAGTGTTTGGCCATACCAGCCTTGCCCCATCTTAAAGAGAAAACTGTGACACTATCTGTGTAACTGAGCACACAGCTGTGCCAGCTGTCCACTGTGCTTGATCAAGGTGGAAGGTTATCGATTTTCTAGGAAGTATTTGCTAGAAATCTAGAAAAAAAAAGAAAAGAAACAACTTAAGCACTTCCTCTATCCAAAAGGGCTCTGGTTGCAGGCTTCTCCGAAACAATCATGACCAAGAACGTATCTGCCCAACAAGCAAGTTTCCTCAGATGTGGAGGCATCTGAAAAGCTTTCAAAGCCCAAAAGACAAAAAATAGCAACCTTGAAATTATAAAGCAGCTAGGTATTACATTATCAAATCAGTCCAGCTAATTACACTGGTAAAGAGAAGTCAGGCATGAAGAGGTAGAGAGGAGTTGGTGAAGAGGAAGGCCATTTAAATCAGTCTTATATGGCAGGCAACCCCTGCCCAGGATGGAGGAACATGCTCAGAAGCCTTCCCCTCCTCCAGTTTCAAGTAGAGGAAATCTTTGTTTCCTGTTGCCCTTGCTGCAGGTCAGGTGCCCAACCAAGCTGCAGTCCTGGCCAACAAGCAAGCACAACATGCTGAGCTCTGTCAAGATAAAAACCTTATTTGAGCCAAAAGCATTTAAGTGTCTCTATGGAAAAACTGAATCCAGAACTGAGGAACGTCATATAATCCTACTCCTCAAAGCTCTACTAGTTGCACTGGTACACAATGTTCATCTCCCTTCAGCTTCACCTCAGAGGGCCCGTTAGGCAAGCACCCTCCCAGGGATTCAAGACCTTTATAGGGAAAGGAGAGTAGCTGAAAGAGTTTAGTCAAACCAGATGTGAATACACTGTCCAGAGAAAACAAAAACAAAAGAGAGAGACATTTCTCCCTGGTTTCTTTGAAGCAGGAGCACCAAGGCTGCCTTTCCCTTCCACTGAACCCTACGAGTCCTCAGTATTATGGCACGAGCATCCACAGCACTAAGGTCAGAGTAAGGACTCAGCCTAGCTTGAGAAGTTTGATCTTTTGACATTACACTCAGCAACAGGCAGGAGCTGCAGCGCATCCTCCGCATTGGGCTCCAAACCGAACCTGGACCGTATAGTGCAATACTGTCCTCAGCCCAAGGGGTGGAAGGGTCAAACGGCTTTCAAGCTGACTTGAACTCTTCTGGGTATTTCCAAGGGGGTCTAGCAAAGATGTTTTTGACCTAGCACTTTTTAATTACAAAGACATTACCACCGTTAAGTCTCACAGGAAACAGATGGTGATTA